TCAGCATTCTTCAGCTTGTGCTACTGAATTGTTCGGAAAGGAGAGTGACGGTACTTACACAAAAATTGAAATTTGAATGATTCTCCATTATTACTGTTCTTTGTAAACTGACGAACTGATGCACAATTCTTCCACCAAAAAATAGAAAAATTCATTTTAAATATGGTCTCAAAATCAAACAATCTACACAGTGTGCTTTTTGTAATAATATATTGAGTATTTTATAGTACATTTCGGAAATTGATTTAAAATGTTCAATGAGTCGACTAAAAAGATCGTGATTTGTAACTGGACGTAAAGACATCCGATCTACCAACTACTTATAGTAAAAGATACAGGCCATACAAGCAAAATTAAGTGCAAATTTCATAAGACGTTCCTCTCCCTATTTTTTTTATGGAAAAATTTCACTGTGGCTGGAAAAAGCAAAGCAGTTTCAATAATACCGTGCAAGAATTATGCGTCAAGTTGATATAATCACCCAACTTAAGCAATTTCATAACGGATGTGATTTTAACTAGCTTACTCTTTAGGATTAGACAGGAGATACACAGATTTATGGGAAAAATTATGCCCGTTCAGGATAGGGGCAATTTCTATGCGTAGCATATCTGTTTCTTTTCAAAGATCAATGCAAATAATCATGCAGATCCAACCATGCGCTTTTTACCCTAATACCACATACCTCCAACATACTGTAATGTTGATGGTTGTGTAATTCTGTTAATGAATTCTTCCTGCACTGTAGATCTTCGTCCTTCTTCGTCATATTCATTTCCAGGGTAATATGACCCTCGGTAATACTGAAAAAGAACAAATTTAGTTTAGGTTTGGAAGTAACGCTGGCGTACCGCAAATGTTTCATTGAAATCCGGTGGTAACAGTGTCATAACGGATAAAACACCATGCGCTTCAGCCACGCGAATGCCTGCACCGGAGTCGAACATCACATGAATTTCGGATTGATTGTGATTTCTTTCCGGTGAGCGGATGGTCACACCCAAAAAATTATTGGTTTTCAAAATTCAATAACTTTCATATTCCATTTTCTTTAAAGCTTGGGGTTAATGTAACTCAATATAATCATCCATCATTCAATTGGAAGTTGCCGCCATAACAAACCTTGTTGGCACAACGTAATTGACATATTTCAAATTAACTAAGAGGACCACTGAATGAGCTTAAGCAAACTTTTACGTTTAAGACACCAATTTTTAAATTTTTCAACCTTCTCAAACCTTCAGAACTCCTTTTTAGGTTACTCGCCAAATCTTGAGAATGGCTCTTGTATTCTTCTCGTTAATCGCTAAAATATCTAATGAAATTCAAATATACTTCTGGTTTTGGGCATTCTTTAGTCCCCACGAATGATCAATCCTTTTCGTTTTTTTT